ATTGCGGCATGGCCATCCCCCCTGGGGGGTGATTTCTCACTTTCTGTCTCTATTTCTCTGTCTGTCTGGCGAGCGCACGCGCCCTATAGCGAAAATCTCTCTCAAAAAAAAAAAATTATATAAAAAAAAGAGACTCACCCCTTGTGGGGTGAGCCACTGGGTCCATGATTGGAACTGCAGTCGACTACATGGGAGTCCAGCAACATAGCCATTATGCCAACTGCTGGTCCCTAAATTAAATATTTATTTTTTAATGTCTTTTTAAAAAAATAATTATTTGATTTGATTTATTCATTTATTTTATTTTGACCAGAGAGAGACACACAGAGAGAGAGAGAATGTGAGAAAGTAAGCCACTAGGTCCAGGACTTGAACTGTAGTCGGCCATATGAGAGTGTCCAGCGCCTTAACCACCACGCCACCTGCTGGTCCCTAAATTAAATATTTCTGAAAAAAGAATTATTTAATTTAATTTATCATTTTTTTTTTTTGGAGAGGTTTTTTTGCCATAGGGCGCTTGCGCTCGCCAGGCAGACAGAGAGACAGAGAGACAGAAAGCAAGAAATCACTCCCCAGGGGGCATGGCCACTTCACAATCCCTTCTCCTCCGTTCTCCTCTCCGGATCTTGGGCACACAGGCACACGCGCCTGGCGTGAATTTTAAGCCACCGGGTCCGGGACTCGAACTGCGGTCGACTACGTGGGAGTCCAGCGACAGCCATTACACTAACAGCTGTCCCTAATTTATCTTTTTTATTTTTAGAGAGAGAGGTTTTTGCTATAGGGCACATGCGCTCACCAGAAAGACAGAGACGGAGAGATAGCAAGCAAGAAATCCCCCCCCAGGGGGGATGGTCATGCCCCAATCCCTTCTCCTTCATTCTCTTCTTGGGATCTTGGGCACACATGCACACGTGCCTGGCGTGAGTTTAAGCCACCAGGTCCAGGACTCGAACCACAGTAGGCTACATGGGAGTCCAGCGATATAGCCACTACACTAACTGCTTGTCCCATTATCATCTTTCTTTAAAAATAATTATTTTATTTAATCTTATTCATTGTCATTACACTTATTTTTATTTTTTTGAAGTTGACCAGAGAGAGACAGAGGAAGAGTAGGACAGTGAGAAAGCAAGCTGCCAATCCGGGACTCAAACCGTGGTCAGCCATGTGGGAGGCCAGCCACCTCAACCACCACGCCACCTGCCAGCCCCCACCATCATTATTATTATTAATTTTGCTACAGGGCATGTGCACTCACCAGACAGAGACAGAAAGAGAGAGAAAGAGAAAGTGAGAAAGCAAGCTGCCAGGTCTGGGACTCAAACCACAGTCATCCATGTGGGAGTGAGTAAAGCACTTAACCACCATGCCACCTATTGACCCCTAAATAAACTTTTTAAAAAGAGAATTATTTAATTTTATTTATTATTATTAATGTTAGTAGTCCTTTTTTTTTGAGAGTTTTTTGCTATAGGGTGTGTGTGCTTGCCAGAAAGACAGAGACAGAGAGACAGAAAGCAAGAAATCACCCCCCAGGGGGGATGGCCACGCCACAATCCCTTCTCCTCCATTCTCCTCTCGGGATGTTGGGCACGCACGCACACACGCCTGGCGTGCGTTTTTTAAGCCATTGGGTCCAGGACGTGAACCGCGGTCGACTACGTGGGAGTCCAGCGACATAGACATTATGCTAACTGCTGGTCCCATGGTAGGAGTACTTTTTAGAATTATCTAAATTTATTTATTTATTATAATTATTATTAGTTTTTAAAATTTGACCAGAGAGAGAGAAAGTGAAAAAGTAAGCCGCCAGGTCCGAGACTCAAATCTTGGCTGGCTTTGTGGGAGTCCAGTTCCTTAACCACCATGCCACCTGCTGGCCCCAGTAGTAGTATTTTAGTTTGCTGAAGGGCACATACACTTACCAGAGAGAGAAAGAGAAAGTGAAAAAGCAAGCTGCCAGGTCCAGGACTTGAACTGCAGTTAGCCATGTAGGAGTCTGATATCCTAACCTCCACGCCACTTGCTGGACCCTAAATGAACTATTTTGAAAAGATGATAAATGCGTGCAGGTGGCATGGTGGTTAAGACGCTGGATTCCCACATGGTCAACCACAGTTTGAGGCCCGGACCTGGCACCTTGCTTTCTCACTTTCCCTTTCTCTCTCTGTCTCTCTCTGGTCAAATTAAACAATAATAATAACAAGAGCAGTTCAGTAAATCATTTTTTTTAGAGGTTTTTGCTATAGGGCACGTGCGCTCGCCAGAAAGACAGAGACAGACAGAGAGATAGAAAGCGAGAAATCACCCCCCAGGGGGTATGGCCACGCCGCAATCCCTTCTCCTCCATTCTCCTCTCGGGATCTTGGGCACGCAAGCACACGCGCCCAGTGTGAGTTTAAGCCGCCGGGTTCGGGACTTGACCCGCAGTCGACTACATGGGAGTCCAGCGACATAGACATTATGCTAACTGCTGGTCCCCAGTAAATAAATATTTTTAAAAATTGAAAAATAAAATGATAATAATTGCTTTCTAAAAGCAGAGCAGGGTCGAATTGTCCGGGAACATGGCGGTAGAATTGTGTGATTCTCAGTAAGGCGGTCAGGGCAGGCTCGTGAAGGAGGTGGCGTTCAAGCAAAGCGCTGACGTAGAATAGACAGTGATGAGGTCTTCCCTTTGCTCAGGCAGAGCAGCTCACCCAAAGGCCCAGAGGCGGAGCGGGGTGGTATCTGAGGGACGCGGAGGAGGCCAGGGGGCCTGAGCAGAGTGAGAAGCGGAGAGGAGAGGAGATGGGGTCAGAGGGAATGCTGCCAGCTCCCCTGAGGCTCTTCGATTCTGCGATGCCACTGGGGTCGCCAATCCCTTGACCCCACCCGCTTTTCTCCATTCTGTCCCCTCGTCCCACCTATCCTCTTCCTTCCTTCCCCAGCACACTCTATGGTCACGTTAATTGCACACACAGCATAACTCCCGCACTCCTTCTGGAATCACACTCCCCTGGGCAGCCGGCCTCTGAGACAGTCCCCAACTGTCCCCACCTCGTGGCTTTCCCAAATTCATGCAGACTCTTTCCACAGTGAGCAAGGGCTAAGCTGTGTGACCATGAGGAGGCCAAGCTCCATCACAGGGAAATGCGGCTTCCATCGTGGCTGTGCTGGGGTCTGCCATGTTGTGAGGAAGCTCAAGCAGCCCCATGGACTGGTCCCCAGGTACTTCCCTGCTGTGAGTGCTACAGTATTTTAAAAAGCATTTATAAAAAGCATTAATTTAATTCATTTATTATCATTATTTTAGTTTGCTATAGAGCACATGTGCTCACCAGAAAGGCAGAGAAAGGGAGAGAGGGAAAACCAGAACGCAAGCTGCCAGGTCAGAGACTCGAGCCACAGTAGTTCACGTGGGAGGCTAG